GCGGAGTATCTGGGGAGCTGGAAGATGAGAACTGGCGACGTGGTAGTAGAACTCCAGTAGGCGGAGGTGACAATGCTCGACTTAACACTTCACACTGCACACTTAACAGGTAACTCGCACTCTGACTTCCTACGTGATGAAAAATGCTTTCGGGCCACTCGTCGTCTAGTTTAGCTGTTCCTCGTTTTCTAAAACCTCCTCCCAAACAAAAGGGCTGCTCACAAACCCCCTTTTGTCTCCAAGTCACCAGGCCGCCTCACCCAGACCGATCCCGAGGCTTGGCGCTTTGGGCCCTGGCGGCGGCCATCAAGTCGCCGGCCCTGCAGGCCTTCGCCATTGCTGCTGCGCCGGAGAACCAACGCGGCGCCGCGCTCTCCGTGCCGAAGACGGTGGGAGATCTCAGCGGCTCGGCCGGCGCGCGCCAGCCTTTTAGGGGCGCCATTTTGGTCGCCTTTATTCTTGGATGTTTTTCTTTAGGTGCCACACACCATACAGCCATCCCCAGACCGATTTCGGACACAAAATTTTTCTGAATCCACACATCCACGTCGGGTCGCGATGTTCTCCCTCGTGACCGAGGCTACCTCATTGCGCCGTTTTTGCTCGGAACCCTCGACGACACCTTTGGCCCGGAAGCTGCGCTGACCTGCTGCGCGACCACCTTCCTCTTGGGCACGCTGGCCTTTGCCGTGCGATTGGAACCCCCGAAGTGAAAAAGAAACGAAAAGGACGCAGAGCGCGAGGTCGGCAGCGGGGTTCTCAGTGGTCGGGAAGAGGGGCGATGGGTCTTTCAGTGTTCCTGGAACTCGCCATTCGGTTGTAAACCCAGCGATTTGATATCCGCAAAAGCTGAGAGTGATGTGCATACATGACAAATACAGCCAAGGCCCTTCATTAAGCTCTTCTGAGTGACATGTGAACAGATGAGGGATGTTTTGGTCCATGTTCTTGCAGCCTTAAACCTCAAAAGAAAGACCCAGTTCACTGCATGGGCATTTTTGGTCGGCCGGAGTACCATTCAGGAGGTAGAGAGGTTCAACTGGGGTGCACCAGATTGTGCAGGACGTTCTGCCTGACCATCAAATCAGATGGAGCATGTTGTTGAACTCTTCCAGTTGAACTGCCCATGCCCCACAAACTCACATGGCAGGTGATTCTGGGGAAGAGATGAAGGTTGTGGAAGCGACCAAGGAGTGTCTCGGCGCCTGTGACAGCCGGATTACCGGGGGCCTTGCGTCGGACGATGCGAGTCCAGAGTTCAGGGGCCAGAGAGGTGAAAATGGTTGACCCTGGTGTTGCGTAAGATCCTTAAGGGTTGTTAGGCATGACCGGTCAGACCTAGTTAATGGTTTTCTTGGAGTCCTACGAACTATGCGTTTTGCATGGTTGGACAACGCATGGAAACCACAAGAAAGATGAGCCAAGAGTCTTCACGCGAAAGAATCAATGATCCTTTGTTCTTTGGATCCGGTGTGTCCCAGGAAACCAATAACAACCTATCAAGAATCAATAATAAATATCACTCACTATGTTTGAGAAGGGTCTTTGCTAATCATCATCATCATCATCATCATCATCATCATCATCATCATCATCATCATC